GCAAATTGTACAACTTTTGACCACAGCCAAGTACATGCCTTGTAACGTATCTGTTGCGCTACCTAATTGCTTGTAAATTTTGATCATACCTGAGTTGGTATGCCTCAACTAATTCGAGAATAAAATATTTATTTATTTATCTTCGCCTTTATTTGCTGAAGATTATGCGCTAATCTCCGATTGTCCTTGTTTGGTTTTCTGACATCCTCCCTTAACTGATAAATATTCATTCGTATACCTTTTGCTATCCACATTAGTTCTATGTTCCTATTCCCGGAGTACCCTCTTTTCTGTGGGTGAGTCCGTTTTCTGCAACTGTTTGTCGTATGTCCTCAATATGCTGTGCGTATGCAAACTAGAGGGTCAGGTAAGATGTGGGTGGCAACCATCCATCTTCACAAACTATCTCAGATGGCCCGTATGAGATGTACGCGTTTTCGACTTGAATGTCTTGCCCATTGCAATCTGAATCGTATTTTGCAACCGTATAAAGTTGTTTTATGGAAGCGAACTTGTCATCATCATCATCATACACGTTAGCTAGAGGTGGGAAACACCTCAGCTACTGTGCCGCAATACATAGAAAAAAGGAGAAAAAAAGCAACTGGTGCAAGCTGGCTGAGCTACCGGTAACGGATGGACATCGTTCCGGTAAGCTACCAGCCGGCTGCTGAGCACCCAAAAAGAAAAAAAATATTATGCAAGATTATGTAAGGCTAAATAATGAGATCGTGATTGGAGGGGGAGGCTAAGAGGGATGGGGTGGGACAAAGAAACTCACAGCACGAGCGCCACTGAGGTCGGCTTCTAGCCATATCAGCAAGTGTGTCCAACCAAACGTGTTCATCGTCTTTCGGACCCCAACCATGGAGCCGAGACGCTCCAACCGAGGCCAGTTCAGAAGTGAGGGCCTTCATTCCTCTCGACCAAGTCATCGCTTGGCCACCCCTCCTCTTCTTCCATCCACACCCCCGGCGCGCAAACAACGCACGTCGCGGGAGTCGGTGGGCTGGCATGCGTAACACGTGGCCGAGCCATCGGAGCGTGATGCGTGAAATAACGATGCTGAGCGGTTCATTTCCTTTTCCTGTGCCATAAACAAGGCGTCGAACACGCTCGTTGCTCACGCGGTGTTCCCACCAAATGTGAGCTAAATTACGAAGGCACCGGTGGTCGAACGTAACTAGCCTCTTCATGTCCGCTGCTTTAAGCGGCCAGGTTTCACAACCGTACAGTAGGGTCGAACGTACCGCTGCATTGTACACTCTACCCTTCCGGGTGAGAGTGATGTCGCGCCGGCGCCATAAGTGGCGAAGGTTAGCAAAAGCGCTCCGAGCTTTTGCTATACGGTTCGTGATCTCATCTTCAATCCCACGGGCGCTGATACAACTTCCCAGGCAGTTGAATTTTTGAACGACTTCTAGCTGATCCCCACCAACGGTCAGCGTAGGAGGCGGTCCAGACCAATCTTGGATGAACGCTTTGCACTTCGAGGGTGCGAAGCAAAGCCCGAAGTGACGGACAGCTAGCGCTAATCTGTCCAGTGCCGCTTGGCACATTTGTGAGCTGTCACAGATCAGGGCAATATCATCAGCATACTCTAAATCAAGAAGTCCTTCTCCTGGGAGCAGATCCACACCTTCTAAGTCGTGTCCTGTAAACGCGATTTCCTTGACTTCGTCAACAGCGAAGTTGAAGAGGAAAGGTGACAGCGGGCATCCTTGTCTCACGCCGCTGGAGATATTAAAGGGCAACGACAACTTGCCGTAAGCCCTCACTCTGCCCGAGCTACGCGCATATAATGCTCGGATAATATTCACATATTTCTCGGGCACACCTTTCCTGAGTAGACAATTCCAAAGGGCACATCGATCGACCGAATCGAAGGCATCTTTGATGTCGAGGAACACGACAACGGTGGGCCGCCAATATATGTGACGGTGCTCCAACAACTGACGCAAAGTGAAGATGTGGTCAATGCAGCTACGACCTCGACGAAATCCAGCTTGCTCTTCGCGAATCTGGCTTTCACGAGTGTCAGTCAGTCTGTGAAGGATGACAGAGGCAAGCAATTTGGAGGCAATGGAGATCAGACTGATTCCTCTATGGCTGCAGCATTCCGATCGTGAGCCTCCTTTGAAAATTGGGACTATGATGGAGCGGCTCCAATCGGTTGGGACAGTTTCGTGCTCCCATATTTTCACTAGTAACTCGTGTAAATCATCCACAAGAGCAGGTCCCCCGAATTTGGAGAGGGCTGGAAGAAGGTCATCAGGTCCTGCGGCTTTATTCAACTTCAACAGTCCGATCTCATGTTCGACTTCTGAGCGAAAGGGTGGATCCAAAGGGACAGCCCACGGAGCGGGGCGATCACTGGTCGGCGAGAAATCTAACAATTCCGACCGATTAAATTGCCGTTCAAAGTGCTCAGCCCAACGTTCCAGGCGTTTTGATAAGTTTTGGATAGGCTGTCCACTCTCGTCACGTATAGTTTCACTAACACCAGGTCTCCTGCTGCCCGTTTCCCGTATAAGACGGAATAACTCACGATGGTTACCAAGGGCAGCGGCCATTTCCATCTCTGTTGCACGACGAGACCACCATGATTCGCGGTCTCTCCTTAGGCTAGCACGGAGTTTCGCCCGGAACTCTTTGCGAGTTCCATTGTGTTCGCTTCCAGCCGGAATATGCCGGCGAGCATCTATAAGTTCCAGAGACTGTGAAGAGACCCAATGTTCATGTTGGCGATTAGACATACCACATGAGGATTTGCCTGCTGCTAGTAAGGCCTGTTGCATATAAGACCAGTGAGCGAACTTGTCAATTGCGCACTATTAATGTTCGTGTCCCCTTCAGGTCTCTTGAGACTTTTCCCTTAGTTCCAAAACGACATCCGATATCGAGCACTTCAGTGTAAGTGTTGCATCATAGTGAAGACCAACTATGGCTGCGGACGTGATCCTATCTTCCTTGTGGTTGCACTATCACAGAGGGTTTGGGAGACAAAAAGACGCTTTTGATTGTTTGATTCAATTATGGTGCCTGCTCAATAACTGAGCCGCAGATGATGCATGCCACATTTCGCAATGTTCCCGTATGGATCCCTTGTGTAAATGTTAAACCAGATTTTCAGATTAACGAAGATCGAGTGGGAAGAATCAGTTGGGCTTTCTCACATTGTCATCGGACAACGCTGTAAATCGTCAAATGTCACGAAATTTCAATGGTTACTACGCTTCGTGCTTCCCAACAAACCCCTCTGTTCGCAAGCAGCCTATAGGTCAGGTGCTTTCTTCACATCCACATTGTAAACCGAGACATAGTTCGTTCCTCTTCACTGGGAGTTATTGTCTTCTGACTCGTCAACAGGTTACTTTCATCTCGAAATTGAGACTCGTATCCTCGAATGGTTGGGTCCCGGGACTCGAGATCGATCTCCGTGGTCATTAGCATCAGGGACAGCAGCACACCAGTAATTTGGACTGGTACTATACTGGCGTAAAACTAGCACAACCTGGATAATGAGAATATTAATGGTGGAAAGGACGGGTTCTGGTGTAAGGTTCAAAAGTTCCAATCAGGTACTGAGAGTCAAGGCGCATACACCTTGACAACAACGCACGGTCACAAATTGCTGGCTAACATGCGAATATGAGACGGCACCAGCAAGGAAGCTTCTTTGCGGCCTTCACTGCTACGCAACATAAATCAGCCACGCCTCGCAGGTGCACTAAAGAGGTAATCCGACTAGTTGAAAACAGCAACCCCACCAGTCGTGTCAGAAGCGAGTCATGTCGTGTAGAGCCTTGAGTCAAGCACGGGGCCGACCAACAGCACCCAGTTTAGTCCTCATGTTGTTGTTTTCTCATTGTTAAACCAAATTTTTCCGCCTTGGACCCAGCGCTATCCTACATCCGACCAAGAAAACGCTCTCGACGATACTTTTGCATTGATGCTTCCCCTTTAAAGTCTTGTACTTTGTAGCATCCGCACGCACGCACGCGCAGACGGGACGTGCAAGCTTGGCCGACACAAGGTCACTGGACCTTATCGACTCATGTGAGACTTGAAAAAGACACACAGCATAAGCATCACGTGCACCACGGCCGATGACTCGTCAAGGGGGCTGACTACATGGTATACGTTGGTACAGTGCCTTGTGCCCTACCGTGATACAGTGTTAAATTGTGTCAAACTATTGTCACTTTTGACTATCTATTTTCCTACCTAATCTCGGAGTTTTCATTATTATTTGTTGGGTCGTTAATTACGTAATAATACGCAACCGTATTTTCCTATAAAACCCCAACAACTTTGTCTCCTCCCAATCCATTGTCTCCCGCGATCAAATGGCACACGATATGTTACCTTCACTTGTTCCTCCTCCGAGTATTCTTTCATCCTCACCAGACCAATGTAGGAAGACAAGACGGAATCGACAGTACGGCGACGCACCGCATCAGCCCTGTACTACCACGCGACTAAGACTAGTCCCGCGCCGGCTAGCCACAGTACGTGGTCGCCCAAGCCTATGCAAATTCCAGCCGGTCAGCTTTGGGTCCCAAGACATATTCATCATCAGTTCGGTTACCGAACAATACACCAATCACAAAAATAAATGGGCATCTAGATAGATGGTCGATAGTATTGATTGTGGTCTCTAGTAAACTAACCGTGAGCTTTGTAACTACGGAATTGGGAAGTCTTTTCAGACATTCTCCAGTTCCGCTGTTTGATGACTTACGCTTTATAACCAGGAGCAGATGCAGTCCAACATTCAACTACAACCAGCTCTACGGATTAATCATTGCCACAACGAAGTAGTTAATTATCTCAGATGGGACATTGGATAGACCGAATATAGGTCACCACACTTGGTGCGGATCAGTTTCATTTACTTATCATATTTACTCTCAAGTTCGACTCTCAGGTGTGCTGCTTCCGCGCAATGTTGCCATATGCTAGCTGATCAACTCCATTCCCCTGTTCTTCTCTTCCAGGTATGTGGGGTTCAAACATATTTGCGGATCTTTGCCGTTTCGAAGAGACTCCACGGCTTCCCCAATTGACTATGGTCTGTCTGCAATCCATTGACGAGAAGGGCATGGCGGTGGATGAGAACTCAGACGGTGACCAACCTCAGGTGTTACACACTCGTCTCTCCTCTTGGCTGCCTTCCACAAAGGTGGATGAGTTATGCAAGGCAGCTATAGAAGTGGCACACACGTTGAGCATTGAGTTCGCCTCATGGCTGCGTAATCGAGTGCGTGTCGGAGTGGAGGTGCGATGATGCTGTGTCGATGTGGGACTCCATTCCCTACCCAACACGTGTACAGTGTACAATCTCCATGATTCAGACATCTTTCGCATCGCAACGATTGTGAATAATAAATAATTTTGTCTACTTAACATCGTGTCAACAGATTGTGATCATAACACCTGACAGCCAAATGTAGTACGCTCGACCGAGCTCTATTTGAAAGTAAATGTGGTTCACACTGAAATCAAACAGCGAGCAATTAATACAAACTCGGATTCTATGCTACTTTGCTAATTAGACCGATACTGATACTATCGCGACTCATCCATCACCATTCATCAGCTGGTCAATGGTTGTCAACCTTGCATTTGCTCAAGTATTGGCAGGTCCCAGGCGTTCAGAATTGCAACGCCCATAACCCGATGCAAGATGATTCATCTGCGCTCTCTCACTCTCCACCGCAACACCGACATTGTCTCCAGCGTCCAGGTTAGCATCAGCGGCATGTATCCGCCCATAGTTGTGTTGATTTGTCATCAGCGTTACTGCAGTTTCAGCAGAGTGCGCGGATGAATACCGTTCATCAACCCGGCCCCACTCCCACTCCTTCTGGTTCCAACAAACGCATATGTAACCAAGCCGGTTAGTGCTGCCTCCTCTGAAGTCACCCCAGTAGGGCTGGACCGAGAAACAGCTCGGATGGACCACCACGTCAGTGGTGGGATGGCTTGTCGTCAGGTTACTTAGACGCATTCACTGGAAATGTCTTGGCGATATCCCGATCGGAAGTGGGCACCCGGGTGAAATAGCCCACGCATCTCAATTCGGAGATTTTCGAGCGGTATGCAATAAGTAGATGCTTGCGTTCATTCGTGAAATATTACGAAATGTATTCACTATAGTATCTTCAACAGCACTGAAGATACAGACTCTCCGCGTATGTGAACTGTAAGACCGATTCACTACGAGATATCATGTGGCAGTTTGATCATTCGGTAAATAATACCACACATACGCCTTCGGATTCCTAGCATACCTTTAGTGATCGTATGTATTTCTGAGGCCGTCAACGCAGATGACATGCAAGCAAGACCGTCAACTGATTTATGACTGTTAGCTCATTCGGCGGCGTCCCAGTCCACGTCTCCTAGGATTTGCCGTACTTCGCGGAAGATGTATCGCTTATTGGTGTGACTAGAGATATTCCGGTTGACATTAAAGCTTCGGCTTGTATGCCATCGTAACGAAACAAGAGAAGGACTTGTATTTAGACCGAAACCAGCACGATCGGAGAGTAGCTTCACACTTTGTTAGCTCGGTTTATATAGTGTAGATACATTGGTTGCTTTGCGCCGACCAGAGGAAACGTAAACCTAGTCCGACATCCTGTCAGAAAAGTTACGACACTATGTTCTGAACATTGAATTGGAGCAAAGCATGAAACAATAACGAGTGTTCCTCAGTAAAAGCTATCTCCCAAGGCTTTCACTGAAAAAATATGCGAAATGATTGGGGCCGGTAAAGCACCCACTTGTCGTGGTGATTCAAAGAAGACAGTGCTCTCGAGCAGATTAAGTTCAACCATGCGTTTCAGTAACACTCCTGACACCGCTGCACATTTACGGATTCTCTTTATGTCAATACTACCCCTCCGGTTAAATGATAAATCGACTGGAGATTTTACCTCTATCTGTGCGTACCAATTTGTCTGTTCACGTTGGACACGTTACATAGGCCACCCCACAGCATGTTCATCAGAATACGTCCGTGAGCATTATCTGGTGTGGCTATGCTGGCGCTTACGCGCATGAAGTGCCGCATCACCGTAACAATGGCACATCTGGTCCATGCGAATCATCCCGTCGGTATTTTCTACTCGTTTCGCCCGATTAGCAGAGGCGATCCCGACTCTTCGTGGTATTGGACAACTAATACTTGAGTAGTAATTTCCGAATGAATGTATCGCAGAAATTGTGATATGCATCACATAGACAGACGTGGAAGCAAATTATGGACGATCATGCGATGAACATGGTACAATCTCACTGACTGTACAAGTGGTGGAAAAGACACACCGCTTCGGCCACAACAAAACAGAGATTCAGACTGAGGTAGATATAATGGAAGGGAGTGAATTCCTGGAAACGTGCTCTTCCACAAGTAACTCACATAACATGCACAACGATATCGATTCCATGTATCAGCCATTGAGCAGCAGGGAACTCAGGCGGATTGAAGATTACGGTTGGAAAGTGAACAGTTCGCTTCCTGAGTAAGAAACGGTTGGCGATATCCATAGCTATAACTGCTTCCCGCCAGCTAGTGTCACGAAACCGCCAACTTGTACACTTTGAAGACGTCATCACACCTAGTGGCGAAACGCCTGCGAACAAATTACGCAGCTTAATGAACGCGACGGCAAGTTAACCAGGCCCCAGTCATCAGGCGTTTCTGAGCTCATCAGGTTTTGGTCGGTTACATGACCATCTCGAATCTTTCGAATAGGATAAATATAACTGTGCCATATTACAGCGATCCAAAAGCGTGACGACGAGTGTTATGTATATTGATGAAAAGGAGGCTTACGGGGCCTGCTGGTGCATATTTCACCTCTGGTTTGCATCCGATCGTAGTCTTGTTGCGAATAGCATGGAGGTGCTGTTCCGAGGGTTGGTACACCTTACTGCGCTGCAGTTTTAATGAATCTTGTTCCGAATAGTCAGTCCATGAGTTAGTTCCACCATCTGAGAATGTCAGAGAACTTCTATCTCACGAATAAACGCAGGCAGTGGGATTAATGCGAGCAATTGCTTTCGGTTTGTTCACCGTCAGGTTTACTACCGAGATATAGTGCGACAGTAAAATTCATTCCGTGTACGAACCTTCGTTATTAATTGGACAAAATTAAACGCTTATCATAGCACTCGTCGGCCGATGAATTCATTGAAGGTACCTCGCACCATTGGGCGAGTTCCGCTTCGCCTCGGTTATTTGCTGACCGAAGTGCTTGCAATACTTAGAGGAGCATTTTCCGAATGCACAGATTCGGCTTTGTCAGTCTGATAGATACCGCTTCAGCGATAGGAATCAACCGCTCCCCTTATTGACTGACGGTATTACGCCTATCAATCAGATGCCCAGTGCTAGTCTGCTAGTAAGTTATTACTCTCAAGATAGCTCCCTCCCGCTGGTTGATGAGCGAATTCCTTAAGTATTCCTTGATTCGATTTCCTAAGTGTTTGGTCGCACATCTAATGTAACTAGCGCCCCAGCAGCAGGTGAACCAGTAGATAACCACTGATTGGAGTTGATCGGCAATTTATTTAAACCTAGGAACAATTAGCGATTTGTTGCGCTGCACTACTGATCTTTCTGCAGTTTTATGTCATCATCGTCGTGTGCACAACAGCCGTTATATAAAAATCGAGAAATAGTTGTTTCTTCTCCACTGTCTGTACTGTGGATCTCGGACTTCTTAGTTTAATTTGATCGCTGGTGAAGGGTTCGGGATAACCGTTTCCGAGAAACTCCTGTTTGATTCGCCTTACTCGTGTCCTCCCTGCAGATCTTGCGTTCACGATTTGTCAGTGTGTACCTCTGTGGCTGAGTGAAATGACGCTCTGGAAATGCGTGTTTGCCCCCGTCTAGGGTACTACGCTGTTGTGTTCTGTGATTGTCGCTGCCGATCGTGCAGCAATGACCCCAAACCGACTTCTTGCTTGCTCTCGTCACAAGCTCCAAATCGAATCCGGATAAGCGAGTCGATGACACCGACTAGATAGTTGGTTTGAGTGGCGAAAACAGAACTCAAGTGGCTGCCGTACGAAAAACAGCCGGATGAAATGCGTTAAATTGCGAATGAACCTAAATGATGCAATCATGTATACTTTGAACAATACAACCTTTTGGTTCACGGGAGGTTACTACGACTAGTTCCTCAGATCTATTATTTGTGGTGAAGATCTGTCCGACTTGTGTGTTTTGAGGCTATAAAATCATGCATGAAATGTCATTCAACCTGGGAGGTTATAATGTGCATATCCTTATGAGCATTAGTTCTTCTTTGGTTTCAACCGATCAAGCAAATGTTTTTTTGCATAATTCTTGTGTAAATAAAGATGTTTATTTCTCCTGGTGCGGAGTGCTCACAAAGGGACCGATCATATTCACATATGCAACCTGCCCACACATGCTGGGCTGTCAATGATTGAGGTTTATGCAAGGTTGGGAAGGGTCGCTTTTGTGAAATTTTTCATTTGGGGCTTTCATTGTAGTTACCTGCCAGTTCAGGGGCATCCTCAGTTGTCTAATTTCGGTACAGCTGGGCCTGCCATGATGACGGCGTTTTCAGGAAAGTGTGGACGCAACAATTGGAGACATAAATCAAAATCACACGCGTGACACATAATCATGCATAATGGACTAAAGTAGTACGGGGAAAATTATTTGTGCGTAGCCGAAACCAACTTGGAACAAGTGTACTCAGACAATAGCATCAGCGGTATGCCGAAACGAAGTACCGACGCTTTGTTGCCACACAACCAACACCAATCGCACGTGGACCAAGGGTACTGGAAGGATCAACTTGTCCCTACGCAGTCTCCGACCCGCACCATCAGATTGCAAGGCAGGCCTGTGAATTTTCCGCTACGGTCTGGAGTACCCAGATAAACATTTGATTAGATAATTTGATACTATTTAATAGACTAGGTAGCGTCGTTGACTGGGGCACCAAAGTGGGAGTTGTGTCGCGCGCGTACGGCTGACAGGAGTATACTGTGCTCCTGGAAACTCTTCACTGTGTGAAATACTCTCATCACACTTTAATGGCGTGGCCTGCGTTGCAACTCATGCAAACTTAGAGATCGATGTTTAATGAATTCCGACGACAGCGACCCAAAAACATCCCACTTAAACAGTGTGATTTGTACATCAGATCGTGGGAGTTGCTCTGGCAATCGACACACAACCGAGACAGTGCAAACCAGCATTGATAGTACATTGGCTTTAGAAGCAGGTTATCGAAAGCGATAATTACCAGACCACCACTTGGTGTCCTCGGTGAGTCTGATTTACATCAATGCTACAAAACTCCCCACTTCAAATAAGTCCATCCGCTTCCAGAGGGGTCAAACTGATACACTAGTCCACCTACTATTGCACGCAAGTTCTGTGACGCATGTTGAGGTATGTACC